TCTGGTTGGTTCTTTCGGTCTGTCCGTTGGACTGAAGGTGGAATGCAGAAGAGAGGGACAGTTGGATGTCCAGGGCTTTACACAGAGCCCTCCAAAATCTTGAGGTAAACTGAACCCCTCGGTCTGAGACAATGTCTTTAGGGACCCCGTGCAGTCTTACAATTTCTTGAATGAATACTCGCGCAGTTTCGGCTGCCGATGGAGTCTTCCTTAATGGTATGAAGTGGGCCATCTTAGATAAACGGTCCACGACCACAAGGATTGCTGTGTGGTCTAGTGATGGTGGGAGCTCGACTATAAAATCCATCGAAATCTTCTGCCAAGGCCGTTCGGGAATCGGTAAAGGCCGCAGAAGACCCCAAGCCTTGTTCCTTGAAGGTTTGTTCCTCTGGCAGGTGATGCAGGATTTTACATAGTGTTTGCAATCTTTAGCCATATCAGGCCACCAGAAGGAGCGTCGGAGGAGCTCTAGGGTCTTGGCCTAGCCAAAGTGCCCTGCCATCGGGTGGTCATGGCAATGTCCCAGACCAGGGTTCGGGTTTCCTCTGGCACCATAATCCGATCCTCCTTCCATAGGAGTCCCCCCTTGTTCTGGAGGGGCACCCCGGCTGGGATGGGTATGGCCGTGGATGCCTCCATTATCTTGGACCGAAGGTCCGTCTGGAGCGCCAAGAAGTTTCCCGAGGAAGGATAGTGTCGGGCGCTGGGACCTCCTTGGCGTCCTCGTACATGCGTGACAACACATCTGGCTTCGTATTCTTTGATCCCGGCCTGTACATAATGTGGAAATTAAATCTTGAGAAGAACAGTGCCCATCTCGCCTGTCGTGGGCGTAAGCGTTTGGCGGTCCTCAGGTACTCCAGATTCTTGTGATCTGTAAATATCAAGATGGGGTGTGAGGCACCTTCCAGCAGGTACCTCCATTCCTCTAACGCTGTCTTAATAGCCAGAAGTTCACGATCGCCGATATCGTAGTTCCTTTCCGCCGGGGTGAGTTTCCGTGAGAAGAATGCCACAGGATGGAGCAATTCCCTGGTGCCCTTTCGCTGGGATAGGATGGAACCTACTGCATTCTCCAATGCATCTACCTCCAAGATGTAGGGTAAGGCGGCATCTGGGTGACCCAGGATGGGTGCCGAGGTGAATAGCTTCTTCAAAGCTTCAAAAGCTTCCTGCGCCTCTGGCGTCCACCTGAACCGAGTTCCAAGCTTGGTTAGCTGAGTAATGGGGGAGACCAGACCCGAGAAGTTCTTGATGAACTTGCGGTAAAAGTTTGCGAACCCAACAAACCGTTGGACGCCTTTCCTGTCTGTGGGTTCAGGCCAATCCAGTATTGCAGAGACTTTCTGAGGGTCCATCGCGACCCCCGCAGTGGAGATAATCAGACCCAGAAAAATAATGCTGGATTGTTCAAAGCAACATTTGTCAGCCTTGGCGTACAAGCCGTGCTGCCGCAACCGCCCCAATACCCTTGCTACATGAACCCTGTGCTCCCCCAGAGAAGGTGAAAAAATCTAAATATCGTCTAAGTAGATGATAACAAAGACATCCAGGAAGTCCCTAAAAATGTAATTCACAAAGTGTTGGAAAGTGGCCGGTGCATTGCGCAGACCCGAACGGCATGACCAGATATTCGAAGTGGCCAAAGCGGGTGCGGAATGCCATTTTCCACTCGTCCCCCTCCCTTATGCGAACCAAGTTGTAAGCTCCCCTTAAGTCCAGCTTTGTGAACACCACTGCAGCCTTTAAACTCTGAAATAACTCTGGTACCAATGGCAGGGGGTAACGGTTTTTGATTGTGACTCTATTCAACTCCCGGTAATCAATACACGGTCTCAAGGTCTTGTCTTTTTTTTTCTACAAAGAAAATCCCTGCCCCTGCCGGAGAGGTAGAGGGGCGGATGAATCCTTCTGGAGGCTGTCTTCAATGTATTCCCTCAGGGCCCCCAATTCGAGCTCCGAAAGGGGGAAGATCCGCCCAAAAGGGATCTCTGAGCCAGGTAACAAGTCAATAGGACAGTCATATGGCGGTGGGGGGGTAGAGTATCTGCTTCCCGTTTACTGAATACATCAAGGAATTCATGATAGGCTTGCAGGAATGACCTGCCTTAAGTCGGCATCCCCTTCCAAGCACACGAGGACCTGGGGGAGCCCCAGGCCAAAGTGCAGCAGTGTTCCCAACAGCATGGGGAAGGGAACGAGACTACCCTGGTCTCCCAGTCAATTTGGGGGTTATGAGCCCGTAACCATGGGAGCCCCAGAATGACTGGGAAAAGGGGTGATACGATAGCATCCAAGCGGAGGAGTTCCTGGTGTTGGCTGGCAATGGTGGTGGCAATGGAAGGGGTCTCCTGGTTAACCACCCCTGATCTTATCCGGGACCCATCGGCCAGAAATATGTTGAACCCCTTTTCTTTTGGTTGGAGGGGAATACCCTGCTGGTGAGCAAAATTAATATCTACAAAACAGCTGCATGCCCCCGAGTCAATTATGGCTGTCACTTCCACGGTCATCTCTGGAAGCTGAAAGGAGAGGGGCACAACTAAGTATTGGGAAGAATGAACATCGCCAACAGATAAGGAAGAAGAGGTGCACTTACTCAGTTTCTGCGGACAGGATCGTACCATGTGACCAGCTTCACCACAGTAGAGGCATAGGTTCTGGGAGCGTCTGCGCTGGCGTTCCTCTGGAGATAGCTTAGGTCGTGCTAGGCCTAGCTGCATGGTTCAGGAGTATCCTCCGGTGGTGGGTTCTGGAAATGTGGCCTAGTGGATTGGCTGGGACCCTGGAAAGACCCCCAGGAAATTCCACGACCCTGACCGGACCTCTCAAACCTGCATTCCCGCAGTCTACGGTCAATCTTGATGGTTAGTGCAATTAAGTCTTCTAGCGCCTCAGGCATTTCTACCCGGGCGAGCTCGTCTTTCAGGGCCTCTGACAGGCCCATACGGAACTGGTGCACAAGGGCAAACTCGTTCCAGCGTGTGTCCCCCATCCAACGCCTAAAATCAGAGGCGTATTCCTCTGCCGCTCGTCGGCCCTGCCGGAGCGTGTACAAGGTTGCTTCAGCCGAAGCTGCCCGCTGTGGGTCATCGTATAAGATGGCCATTGCGTCAAAAAAAACGTTAACTGAGCCTAGGTGGGGGTTGTTGTTCCCTCTTAGTCGGTGGGCCCAGTCTTGGGGTTCACCCTGCAGGAGGGAGATGACAAACCCCACCTTTACTGATTCCGTCAAAAAGGTACGAGGTTGTAACTCGAAGTAGAGAAGGCAGGACTCACGGAACGACCTGAAGTGTGTGCGGTCCCCGTGAAAACGCTCCGGTAAGGGTACTCGGGGTTCGGCCATAGGAAGTGGTGCAGGAGCCCCTGAAGCGGGCTCAGGGGCCGCTACAGGCGGAGGTGCAGGGACCGGAGCCTGTGGTGCAGGGACAGATATAGTGCAGGCCTGGAACCGATTTTCAATCTGTAAACATCTGTCCTGTAATACGTTTACAGCTTGTGTCAGGGTAGCCAGGTGCCTACAAACTTCCTCCAGCGGGGAAACTTCCTCCAGGGTCCTCCTCGAGGCTCCGTCATGGCCTTCTGGTACTGTAATGGACCACCCGGTGGTACCACTAGCACTCCACTAAATAGGCGTTCCCAGAGCACGGAGTCTAAGTCCCAGGGTGCTTGTTCACCAGGGCCCCTGATGGTGGGGATGGACTTGGAGCTCCCCGAGACCAGGTCGTGGCTACTGGGTAAACCCATCAGTGGTAGTGGTATACGCCGAGGGCTCCCACGGGGAAGAGCCTGATATGAGGAGGTCAGAAGACCCCACTGGGAGGGATGGGATGGATGGCTGAGCAGGTGCGAAGTCAGACAAGCGGGTCGGTAACAGGGAGGACGGTACGGTACAAGGCAGCAGGCAGAGAATAGTCGGGTCACACGTCAGGTCAGTAACAGCAGGTCAGATCCAATAGGGGGAATTCAAGAGAGAGGTCAGGCAAAGCAAGGGTCAGGGCAGGAGAATACAATCCGGGTCAGCAACTTACAATTCACAGGTTCGCAGATACAGGATACAGGGAAGACCAGAAGGCACTGAATGACAGCTCAGGGCCATTTAAATATCCCACCCTGCGCTGCCATTGGTGCCCAGCGGGCGGCCGCGGCTTCTACTGCGCATGCGCAAACTCGAACGCCGCGGCCGGCCCAGACCTAGTGCCCGAGTCCCTGCACAGGGCGGCACACTGTGCCTGCGCCGGGACCATCGCGGCGGGGATCGAGGAGATCCCTGGCACTTTTGTTCCCCCCATTTCCTCCCAGCTGGACATTTTATATCGGATGATGTGATTGGAGCACAGACTTTTACATGGTGATAATAACGTGATAACATCCTCCAACTTTGGACCCTTAAACAGAAAGTGATAATGAGGGAGGAGTCAATACCCCAATGATGGTGGTCTTCAGGATCAGTCCAGTCTTCATCTTGGTTGTTCTCCCCCCCATCCTCACTCTCTGACCTCTGGTGGGCTCAGCCCCGCTGTTCTTCATGACTAAATCATGGACTAAATAAGGAAATGCAGTACTTCTTGTGTTGGGAAGATGGCGATGAGTGATAGAGGGGGGGGGGACCCTCGTCCTATAATCCCCTCATCACTGTCCCTCCTATAAAGACAGTTCTGGTTGTTTCCTCACTCTCTGACTAAGGTCCATGAATAAAGAAATGACCTGGTAGGAGATCAGAGGAGCCATTTCCTAGTTCCCTTGAGGGTGGAATTGTAAGCTCCTCAGAGACCAAGCTGCCTGATGTGGGCGGAGTCCTGGTTTGGGGGAACCAATCAGCTCCTGTCTAGTAATCCTTTGTCTTTGTATTTTAGTCCATGGCCGGGAGATGAGGAAAACCTCCGAGGATTGTCTCACTTTGTCTCCAGACTGGAAAGTAGAAGATGAGGACATCACACAGTATAGTCCAGGAGAAAACCCGGCTCCCTCCAATGTCCATCCGGCACCACCCAGTGTAGATGGACCATCGGATTCGTCGTATCCTGGAGGAACCTCAGACTGTGCGGGACCCGGCCGGCCTTCCAACAGGGAAGAGGTTCTCCTGTACTGAGTGTGGGAAGGGTTTCCGATATAAATCCAATCTTAATGAGCATATAAGATCTCACACGGGAGAGAAGCCGTATTCCTGTCCTGAGTGCGGGAAATGTTTTTCACGGAATTCAATTCTTTACTTACATCAGAGATCTCACATGGGGGAGAAGCCGTATTCCTGTCCTGAGTGCGGGAAATGTTTTTCACGGAAGTATCTTCTTTACTTACATCAGAGATCTCACACGGGAGAGAAGAAGCCGTATTCCTGTCCTGAGTGTGGGAAATGTTTTTTACAGAAGACCAGTCTTTACATACATCAGAGATCTCACACAGGGGAGAAGCCGTATTCCTGTCCTAAGTGCGGGAAATGTTTTTCAAGGAAGTCCTATCTTTACATACATCAGAGATCTCACACGGGAGAGAAGCTGTATTCCTGTCCTGAGTGCGGGAAAAGTTTTTCACAGAAGGCAAATCTTTACACACATAAGAGATCTCACACGGGAGAGAAGCCGTATTCCTGTCCTGAGTGTGGGAAATGTTTTTCACAGAAGTCCCATCTTTACACACATCAGAGATCTCATACAGGTGAGAAGCCATATTCCTGTCCTGAGTGTGGGAAATGTTTTTTAGAGAAGCGCAGTCTTTACAGACATCAGAGATCTCACACTGGGGAGAAGCCATATTCCTGTCCTGAGTGTGGAAAATGTTTTTCAGATAAGTCCAGTGTTTACAGACATCAGAGATCTCACACGGGAAAGATGCCGTATTATTGTCCTGAGTGCGGGAAAATGTTTTTCAGACAAGTCCAGTCTTAATAAACATCAAAGCTCTCACATGGGAGAGAAGCCATATTCCTGTCCTGAGTGAGGGAAATGTTCCTCACTGAAGTCCTGTCTTCCTGTACATCAGGGGTCCCACACAACCCTGGAGGTGTATTAGTGCCTTGAGTGCGGGAAATGTCTTCTAGATGAATGTTGCTGGACATCCCAGCTCTCATGTGGGGAAGAAGCACACCCTGATATACACCTCAGATATACTCCATGGCTGATCTTCATCATGGAAGGAACAGTCCATAAGGAGATCAGAGGTCCCCAAAGACATGGATGAAGTGTGGGACCGGGTTGGCCATTGATGGCAGGAGAAGAATAAAAATGGAGTCCTGACCTGTGATTGGCTGAGTACATTGTGGTGGGAGATTTCACAAACACTTGGAGGTCTATTATTGATACTTTGTGGACAAATGTTCCAAGCACTCATTAGGCCCACAGTTGGAGGTGAGGGACAATACTTGCATGGTGGGGGATCACTGAAGAGGTGGGTGGTAATAAAATGTCCCAATTCTAGAAGAGTGACTGATGGTGTACACATGGAAGCAATGGAATTGTGTGTATACCGGGAATGAAGGAGTGATTGGTGAATGCACATATTGGGACTTTCCCGTGTCTTTCTCCATACATGTTTCTTGTATGTTTCCCGTGATACAAATGTCTGTGTATATGATCGGCACATGATGGTCTGTCTATGACAAACGTTTCATTGATCTGATCATTTCCATGGTGATTGTGGACACATTGTGATTGGTTGATGGGGGATGGAAAGCACAGAGAGCAGGAAGTAGAGCGCCATCCTTTCTCCCTTTCTCTATTCCTAGTTCAGATTTGTAGCAGAAATCCCCAACATGTAGCAATACACGGACAATTGATATCAGACAATGAGGCAGAGGAAGGCCAATCATGAAGCTGGGGTGGTGCAGCATAGACTGGAACAGGGTCCTCCAGGAGTGCAGCTCACACTGCGGGCAGAACTCCTCCTACTGGGACATTCAGGCTTCACACAGCTACAGCTGCACTCCCGGGACTGCCACGCCTGGACTGTATATGGGGCGGGTGTGTGAGGGATGAGGAGCAGGGATTGGCTAATGGAAAGTGGGAGCATCTCTGAGTTACCGATGGATATACAGTATATGGAGATCAAGGAGAGTTCATCTTCTGCCGGCTATAGATGGGGCCCTTCAACAGTTGGAGTATAGGGGATGATAATGACTGGGTCAAATCTGCAGAGAAGATGGGGTAATGGGATCTCCTTGGATGAAGTGGGGTAGAGGTGTCTGCTAGTCTGAGAAGCAGAGCAGAGCGGGTGTCTGCTACGTGGGGGGGGGTAAAGGTGTCTGCTAGCTGTGTCCACGTGTGAGAAGTAGAGCAGAAGTGGGGGAGGGTAGAGGTGTCTGCTAGCTGTGTCTACGTGTGAGAAGTAGAGCAGAAGTGGGGGAGGGTAGAGGTGTCTGCTGCTAGTGGTGTCCACTTGTGAGAAGTAGAACAGAAGTGGGGGAGGGTAGAGGTCTAGCAGTGTCCACGCATGAGTAGAGTGAAAGTGCGGGAGGGTAAAAGTGTCTGCTGGCGGTTGGTGGTCAATGTAGCGTCTCCTGATTGGTGGTCAGTGCAGTGTCTCCTTAGATTGGTGATCAATGTGGTTCTACCTTGCATTGGTGATCAGGTTAGTTCCTCCTTATATTTGTGTCAGTGTATGTCACATGTGGTCAGTGTAGTGTCTCCTTACATTGGTGGTCAGTGTAGTGTCTCCTTACATTGGTGGTCAGTGTAGTGTCTCTCCTTACATTGGTGGTCAGTGTAGTGTCTCCTTACATTGGTGATCATTGGTGATCAGTGTAGTGTCTCCTTTACATTGGTGGTCAGTGTAGTGTCTCCTTACATTGGTGGTCAGTGTAGTGTCCTCCTTACATTGGTGGTCAGTGTAGTTCCTCCTTACATTGGTGATCAGTGTAGTGTCTCCTTACATTGGTGGTCAGTGTAGTGTCTCCTTACATTGGTGGTCAGTGTATCTCCTTACATTGGTGGTCAGTGTAGTTCTCCTTACATTGGTGATCAGTGTAGTGTAGTCTCCTTACATTGGTGGTCAGTGTAGTGTCCTCCTTACATTGGTGGTCAGTGTAGTTCCTCCTTACATTGGTGGTCAGTGTAGTGTCTCCTTACATTGGTGGTCAGTGTAGTTCCTCCTTACATTGGTGGTGAGTGTAGTGTCTCCTTACATTGGTGATCAGTGTAGTGTCCCTCCTTACATTGGTGATCAGTGTAGTGTCTCCTTACATTGTGTGGTAGTGTCTCAGTGTAGTGTCTCCTTACATTGGTGGTCAGTGTAGTGTCTCCTTACATTGGTGGTCAGTGTAGTGTCTCCTTACATTGGTGATCAGTGTAGTGTCTCCTTACATTGGTGATCAGTGTAGTGTCCTCCTTACATTGGTGGTCAGTGTAGTGTCTCCTTACATTGGTGATCAGTGTAGTGTCAGTCCTTACATTGGTGGTCAGTGTAGTGTCTCCTTACATTGGTGGTCAGTGTAGTGTCTCCTTACATTGGTGATGTAGTTCACATTGTGTCAGTAGTGTCTCCTTACATTGGTGGTCAGTGTAGTGTCTCCTTACATTGGTGGTCAGTGTAGTGTCTCCTTACATTGGTGATCAGTGTAGTTCCTCCTTACATTGGTGTGATCAGTGTGGTCAGTGTTCTCCTTACATTGGTGTCAGTGTAGTGTAGTGTCTCCTTACATTGGTGATCAGTTGGTGATCAGTGTAGTGTCCTCCTTACATTGGTGATCAGTGTAGTGTCTCCTTACATTGGTGATCAGTGTAGTGTCTCCTTACATTGGTGATCAGTGTAGTGTCCTCCTTACATTGGTGGTCAGTGTAGTGTCTCCTTACATTGGTGATCAGTGTAGTGTCTCCTTACATTGGTGATCAGTGTAGTGTCTCCTTACATTGGTGATCAGTGTAGTGTCTCCTTACATTGGTGATCAGTGTAGTGTCCTCCTTACATTGGTGATCAGTGTGTTGTAGTTCTCCTTACATTGGTGAGTGTCATTGTGATCAGTGTAGTGTCTCCTTACATTGGTGATCAGTTGTGAGTGTCTCCTTACATTGGTGATCAGTGTAGTGTCCTCCTTACATTGGTGATCAGTGTAGTGTCTCCTTACATTTGGTGGTCAGTGTAGTGTCCTCCTTACATTGGTGTGTCACATTGTCAGTGTAGTGTCTCCTTACATTGGTGGTCAGTGTAGTGTCTCCTTACATTGGTGATCAGTGTAGTTCCTCCTTACATTGGTGGTCAGTGTAGTGTCTCCTTACATTGGTGGTCAGTGTAGTGTCTCCTTACATTGGTGATCAGTGTAGTTCTCCTTACATTGGTGATCAGTGTAGTTCCTCCTTACATTGTGTAGTCAGTGTAGTTCCTCCTTACATTGGTGTGGTCAGTGTAGTGTCTCCTTACATTGGTGGTCAGTGTAGTGTCTCTCCTTACATTGGTGGTCAGTGTAGTGTCTCCTTACATTGGTGATCAGTGTAGTGTCCTCCTTACATTGGTGATCAGTGTAGTGTCTCCTTACATTGGTGATCAGTGTAGTGTCTCCTTACATTGGTGATCAGTGTAGTGTCTCCTTACATTGGTGATCAGTGTAGTGTCTCCTTACATTGGTGATCAGTGTAGTGTCTCCTTACATTGGTGGTCAGTGTAGTGTCTCCTTACATTGGTGATCAGTGTAGTGTCCTCCTTACATTGGTGATCAGTGTAGTGTCTCCTTACATTGGTGATCAGTGTAGTTCCTCCTTACATTGGTGTGTATCAGTGTAGTGTCTCCTTACATTGGTGATCAGTGTAGTGTCCTCCTTACATTGGTGATCAGTGTAGTGTCTCCTCCTTACATTGGTGATCAGTGTAGTGTCTCCTTACATTGGTGATCAGTGTAGTGTCTCCTTACCTTGGTCATTGGTGGTCAGTGTAGTAGTCTCCTTACATTGGTGATCAGTGTAGTGTCTCCTTACATTGGTGGTCAGTGTAGTGTCTCCTTACATTGGTGGTCAGTGTAGTGTCCTCCTTACATTGGTGATCAGTGTAGTGTCTCCTTACATTTGTGTGTCTCAGTGTAGTGTCTCCTTACATTGGTGATCAGTGTAGTGTCTCCTTACATTGGTGATCAGTGTAGTGTCCTCCTTTACATTGGTGGTCAGTGTAGTGTCTCCTTACATTGGTGATCAGTGTAGTTCCTCCTTACATTGGTGGTCAGTGTAGTGTCTCCTTCCATTATTATTATTATACAGTATTTATAAAGCGCCAACGGTTTGCTCAGCGCTGTGTACATCACAATGGGAGACAGTACACGAGACAGTACAGTAACAGTACAATACGATACACGAGGGGTTCGAGGGCCCTGCTCCTTGGAGCTTACAATCTAGGAGGGAGGGGATAGTGGTACAGGAGGAAATAGCTGTGGGGGATGGAGTGGTAGGAAGAGTGGAGGCGATCGGCAATTAGCTGAGGGCGGGGTAGGCTTCCCTGAAGAGATGGGTCTTCAGGGTGCATCTAAAGGAGAGGAGGGTAGGTGATAGTCTAATGGATTGGGGTAGGGAGTTCCAGAGGATGGGGGAAGCCCTTGAGAGGTCCTGGAGGCAGGCATGGGAGGAAGAGACCAGGGAACTAGAGAGTAGGAGATCTTGTGAGGAGTGAAGAGTATGTTTTGGGTGGCAGATGGATGTCAGGTCAGTGATGTAGTTTGGGGCAGTGTTATGAACAGCTTTGTACGTCAATGTTAGTATTTTGAATTTTATTTGTTGGGCAATTAGAAGCCAGTGGAGGGATTGACAGAGGAGGGTGGCTGATACGGAGCGGTTGGTAAGGTGAATGAGTCTGACCGCAGAATTTAGGACAGACTGAAGCGGGGATAGCCAGCGGCGAGGCAGGCCAGTGAGGAGGGAGTTGCAGTAGTCGAGTCGTGATATAATAAGGGAGTGAACGAGTTGCTTAGTGGTTT